GAAGGCATTTACGAGTGGTGGATTGGTTTATAGGAGTTCTTAACTGGCATGACGACTTCAGCCTCAATTCGGGAATTATGGCCGCGTCTCCAGTAGCGGTACAGTCCATCGTCGTCTCTGGCCCAGTTCGTCCTTGGCGTTCTCTGTTCCTTTTCGTTCGGCGGCTCCTGCATCCACTTTTACACGTTAATATCACTGATAAAGCCTATACAAGGCTCCCCTTTCACCTTTCAGGGCCTCCCGGCAGCCTGTTTCACCCAGTCCTTTCCCGGAACCGTAATACCTGGGGATTTTCAGAACTTTCAAGTTCCCCAATTGCTCAGCACAGATGACGGCATGATGAGTCTAGTCATAGGATGAACTGGTTCCCTGACCCTATCCAGTTTGCCGCAGCCAATTGTTCTCCGTTTGTCTAGTCACCGTTCCCATAAAACCCTTCAGGCCACTTGTCCTATGCTAACTATTTATTGGTTCACTTTACTAACAAAAAAAAAAGAAGATACGCGTAAAGTTTGGTTTCTGTGTACACCACCTTACGGACGGGCATACTTTTCGTCTTATTTTTTGTCACATGGAGCACCACTCGAATCAAAAGAGTTACGCCGTCAACTTGAGTACAACTCAAGTAGCCTGTTACTGGTAATCATTCCCCACAATTAGATCAACTTGCTTCGTTTTTCTGTAATTGATTTCTTGGCTGTTTTCACATGCCACCGCCTTAAAAGCGCGTGTCCGCCACAGTCGCACGTAATCTTTCATTAAATCTAGCGCGCCAATCGATAATTTACATCAAAGGCGGAAGGAGGGGTCATTCAGGTGGTTCCTCTTTGCCTTCGACGGGTTTAAGTAGGTTTTCGCTCGTTTAAATCGGAACCTCTTTTCCTACTACAGCGTTGAGGTCCTAAATGCCAGGACAGTAACGTCAGATCCTTCCGATTTCCGGTTTCGTCAGAAAAATATGATTACTGGAAGCGGTTTCCTTTGATGTATGTTTCCCCAAGAGTTATGGAAAATCTGAAGCGGATAGGTTAGGTTCCGTTTCTGTTCTGAAGTCGCGCAAACGATTTCGTCACCTGATCCATGCCACCCCTGACCTTCCGGTTTCCGCATTCCGCCTTTTCGGTCCCGCTGGATAACATTCGTAAATCTGACTTGGTCAAATTTGGTTTGTGACTTCATTTGCACGGCTTCCATCATTTTTCTGCTCAGTTTGGAAAATTGCTGCGACTGAGCGATTTTCTTGCCGAAATCTCTTCGATCTCCGACAGACATGGAAATGGGCCTCAAGAATCCTTCCGAGTGCGTCATTCCGTCAGCGATTTCTCTAATTCCTTCTAACGTACACGCAATTAGGACGAAAGGTAGTAGTAATGTGAAAGGTCATTCGTTACTCCATTCACATTTTCGCATCCGAACACGTGTTTGACCATCAAAGGGTGTATCGATTTTATTGATCCTTCCGAATCGGCAGTTAGGTACTAATCTCATTGAAGTCACTTACTTCACAGCAGCAACTTCATGCATTCCCTCGATAAAAGTTAACTCTCGACATACTGTAACTGGTTGTCAGTTTTTTCTAACAAATCATATTGCACAACAACTTGACTTACTGCGTCGATTACTGCCATTTCCTTCCATTTCGACGATCCCTGAACGATAACGATCATGATAATGATTCATTGACATGTCTGTACATCATAGTTTTTTTCATTCAAATAAAACTAAAGCCAGTTCAGGTCCAAAAAGGGAGCAGTGGAGGGTAGGAGTCAGTGGCAACACTATTTTCACCACCATATCCAAACTTTACGAAATCCAT